AAATTCAATCAAAGTGGAATATATGAAATTTGCTTACTTATTGTTTTGTTCCAAGAACAATAGGAGCTCCAAAATTCCTGCTCCATCCTCCGATGTGGAGTGTGTACTGGCCACGGGGAAGCCCCAGGACATTGTCCTTTGGTGTGGGAGGGAAGTGGTCTCTGCCACAATGAGCTACTCGCGTGTGAATAGTGTTGTGTGTGTACAAAGCATGTCTGCATCCTCTCCTTTGGCCCTCCCAGCAGTCCTGCTTTCATTTTAACCACAAGAACCTTAAGGTTCAAAGGCATGTTACCATAGGCTCACAAAGCCATTCAGACAGAGCAACACAAAGTTGGAGGAACGCAGGTCTGCCCTTTCCGAGGGCAATGCTGCTTCCTCCCAGCAGGCTGGAGGGCAGCCAGGGCAGACGGGAGGAGGTGCCTGAGGAGATGCTGAATCAATGACCTACATGTGGTATCAGGCCAGGGATGGCTGGGTCTGCGCACACGGCGGGGGCCCTAGAGTCAGCCTGACCCAGAGCTCAACCCTGTCTCCGCCACTTACAGTCTGAGGAACCCTCAGCGAGTGTCCTTCCCCCTTCCTCTGGCCTTCGGAGGCACTCGTTCCGCAGGGCTGGACGGGAGAGGAGAGCCATTTCCACAGGCTCTTCACAGTGAGCAACACTTTGCAGATTTCTCCCTGGGAGACTGTCACAGGCCAGCATCACACACTGGTGAGCATCTCGTTAAGAGGCCGGGGCCTGTCAGGCTCAGCAGCTGGAAAGTAACCTTCTCCCTGCTGTAATTTCTCAGAGTCCCTAACCCGTTCTGTTCTTTACGGTGAGTTTCTCAACAGCAAATGGGGATAGTCACTGAGGACTTCTGACAGAGGGACAGGCGCACAGCAAGCAAATGCCGCACATGTTGTGGAGTCTGGTACCGTGCAAACCGGAAAGAAGTCATAAACCACAGCAACATGAAAAGTGTGTCTCTGTCCTCAGCATGAGAGAAACCCACTTGATTCTGTTAAGCTGGTTCCTCCTATTTTGTTGTCTGGATTTAGGGCAGCAGAAAATTCCCTTTCTCCTTTGCTTGGGAGACATCCACTATAAAACACAAATTCTCAACCCTGATGTCAGTTTCTGTCTCTGGTGGAGAAAGGAAAATCACCTTGCAGTGAAGACTGCCACCTTGTGGCCACACAGGAAATGCCACTAGGAAAAAGATGGCCCGTGCTAATGAAGGCTTAACCCAATGAACACAGGAAGTCACTAATATGTTGGTATATTGCATAATTTATACTCTCCTAGAAGGTTCTGCATTGTACATATTACTTTCATTGGGGCACTAGTCTGTTTCAAATTAATTTCTTGTTCTCTACCATAACAAAATCTAACTGTCTGTGACACCTCCGACTGCCTCTGTGGAATTGCAGGGACTCCCTGGAGTTGGGGTACAAGACACCTCATTATTTGTTCATGCAAGTAACTTGAGACAACAGCCGATGCATAGACTTGGGTTCACTAAATGCCTGCCCACTGTCTGAATCAAAGGTTACTAGCTGATTTAGATCATCTGCTCTTTAGCTCAGGCCCTAGATGACCTGAGCCATAGCTGCCTGCCATTTGGTTCATGGAATGAGCACAAGGCTCAAGCCTGAGATGCAGGCAGGTGACCGGTATCACCCACCCAATGGTACCATCCTTTTTCACGAGGATGTTTCAAGCCTGAGCTGTCACCCCACTCGTCTCTGAGAAAACATCTGGATGAAAGGGATGAAGATGGGAAAGGGCTGTATAGCAGGCAAAGTTCAGAGCACAGGAAACAGGATTTCGGGGACAGTCTAGGCAGCAGTGAAAAAAGCAGAACTGGAATTCCACAAGAACCATGGACCCCGGGCCTGGGGACAGAGAACCAGGGGAGGGGTGACAGGGCAGCATGGAAGCCAGGGCTGCCTGGAGGCACCACAGACCATGAGGTGAGGAGGGTGTGGCCTCCAGGAGCCCAGACCTTGAGGAGGAAGGAACGTGTGCAGGGGGCACATGGCCTAAGAAGCTATTAGCTGCCACTCCTGTTCTTTCCAATGTGCTTGGACAGCATGGCAGACACACTGCGTGTCCCCTTTAATGCACCCTCCCGGCTCCCAGTTTCCAGCCTTCCCTGCCCCGCCCATGCTCCAGGCTGCACATGGCTGTTTACAACAAGGATTTGAACACAGGTGACCTTTAAATATCTGTGAATGCTCAGCTTCACTCACAGTCAGGGAAAGGCAAATTAGAACTCGGAAGAACAATTTTTAACCCTCCAATCATCAAAATGATAGATAGCAAGCTGTGTGATGGGGGGGGGGGGGGTTAGTGGAAAATCGGTCCTCTCGTGGTTTGGGCATGTGAACTTAGGAATTCAGCAAGCAAATGGTAAGAACCTGGGCTCCATAGTCAGACTGTCTGGATCCAAAGTCTCTGCCACTTGGAAGCTAAATTTCTTTGTGCCTCAGATTCCTCATATGCAAAATGGGAATAATATAAAAAGAACTTACTTCACAGGGTTCTTGTGGGATTAATGAGGTAGTATACATAAAGCACTTAGAACAATGCCTAGTGTATAGGTGGTAAAACGTTAGCTGGCTTTTACCACTATGAGGAAGAAGGCCAACTGGACCCAAAATTTTAATAAGCAATATAACTTCATATAGTGTATCATCTACATATATAAAAGGCTAAGTGATCATCCGACCATCTAACTGGCCGGTAGTTACGATGTGCACTGATTCCCAGGGGGCAGACGCTCAACGCAGGACTAAGCAGGGGCGGTTCTCGGGGAACACATCCTGGAACCAGAGAGGAGGGAGTCCAATTCCTCTCGGGGCCACACAATTCCACCTTTGGCCCTGGGTTATGCTTCCCTGGGGCACTGTCAGCTCTGAATCAGTTTTACTGCTGAGCTACGATGCCCGCAGATGCCCTTCAAGCCACAGTGCAGCCCCAGGAGTGGCCAGCAAGGAGGGCCACGGGAGGTTGGCCCCAAGGCATGTCTGGCCCATCTCGCCCACTCTCGCCCCACCAGCCACCTTCTAATTAATTTCCTTTCAGTGTGCACGAATCCATGTACCAGGCCACTAGTATAGTAATAACAGCACACTATATAAAGATAGAAGCACAAGGAGACTCCCTGAAACACTCATTAAAATAAGAGACTGGGTACAACCAACTGGGTACATAGCAATAGGAAAGAAGTAAAATAAATTGTGTCATGGCTCAAAATGGAACACTATGCAGCCATTAAAATTGAGGAAGCTATGTATACACACATATGAAACAATCACCAAGATATGTTATTAAATTTTCAATGAAATAAGGTATAGTATGATGGGCAATGTATACCACCATTTGTATTTAAAAAAATATATATAAATGCATAATTGGTATGCATGTATGCTTTCATGTGCAAAATATTCTTTGAAAGTCTACCAATGAGATCAGTAACAAGTGTGTCTTTCAGAGAGAGGATATGAATATCAGAGGATGCTTATATTACCTACTGCAAACAAATAGTTTTCTAGTTGAAAAATGCAATCTGATATGCCATCTCTCTGCTAAAATTTCTTCCATTTGCTCTTAGGACTCGAATCCATATTCCTTAATGCAGCCCATAAGGCCCTTCACAGGCCGGCCTGGCCACCTCTGAGCTTTAGTTCTCACCAGGCCCTTCTTTAACCTCCACACTTCACACATGCTGGTCGTATTCGCCCTCATGGTCTTGCTCACGGCCACACTTGTACAATTGCTGTTTCCCTCTACAGCGTATCTGCCTTCACTCTTTTTTTGCCTAACTAAATTCAAACTCACCCTCTGGTTCCCTGGCATTGCATCGCACCATACCTGGATCAGGTGGGATGTCCCTATCCCGCTCCCACCTCTATTGCCCTGATGGTAGCACAGTCAAGGTACATGTCCCGAACTTGCTTTCCCAGAATGCCTTTGACTACAAGAAGGTATTGAAACACCTTGGCAGACTCTCTTGGTGACTTCTCAGGAGCCTTCTTCCCTCTTTATTGACAACAGAAGCTCAGTGATAAGTTGCTTATCCCAGGGTATGAGTCATGGTTGGTGAAAGTCTATCATGGGAAAGCAGCTTACCCCTCGCTAGATAGTTGCTCTTCCAGCCTTCTTTGCAGCTAAAGGTGAAGTGATTCAAGTCTAGAAAGAAGTTTCTCTCTCTGATAAAACGAGGATGGCCCATGAAGCCCTGTTCCTCTGGTCCCATGATTCCTTCTCTGGATTCTGTCCCAGGAGAAGTGATGTTTAGCAGTGTGGCAAATAACGTGAGAACCCAAAGGGAAGATACGTCCAATGTCGCTGAGCAACTAAGTCAACCCTAACATTGCTACCACCAGAATCCCCCAGTAAAACATTTATATTAAAGAACTAAACTCATCCTTTCTGTTTATCGCATAAACTATGGTTGGTTGGGTATTCTGTTAACTGCAGACAAAAGCATTGCTGCACACCATTAGAGGATAGACAGACTTGAAACCCAGCATCAGTTCACAGAATGAAGGCAAGGGTTCCTGGTCAAGGCCAGGAGCAATGCCTTGGGACATTATAGATCAAGGTGCCCTTTCTGGGCCTACCTTAGTCTGAGTTCTTGTTAAATATTTAGGAGTGAAGCCAAAGTCAAGGTCAGCAAGATAAGCAGCCCATGACCTTTCCTCTATCCTTAGATTTTGGTAACCTTCATTTTGCTAGAGAAGACTTACCATAAAGACCTTTATAACCATAGGGCATACAGCCCTCCAAGTGATCCTTCTTCAGGACAGCATGGAAGAAACTGGTTAGTTATTGGTTTGACTTTCTCCCACAGTCATCAGGAGCCTGTGGGCACCTTCAGATGGCCCTCCCAAGAGAGCTCGTGGCCCCAAAGTTCCTGACATTCTGCTTTATGAAATCTTTGTCATCTTATTGTCTCAACCCTGTAAGAAAGGAGGCCACGGAGGTGGTGCAGCCGAGTCATACTCACAGGGGTCTGAAAGCAGCAGAACAACTGAGTGAGGAAGGGGTGATTGCGGGCCAACGACAGAATCCTTTTCTCCGTCATTGTGCACTCCACGTCATCATCCTGCAGGATCACGTCCTTCTTCAGCACCTTCACAGCATAGAGGTCTCCTGTTTCTTTTATTCTTGCGAGCATCACCTGTGGCAAAGTGGTGGGAGGAGCATGAGAACTCTTGCAGTTCTTAGGGTGTGGGTACACACAAGGCAGGAAGGGAAGGACACATGGGAAATACAGACACACACACTCACACACACACGGGAAATACACACACACACACACACACACAAATACACACACATAACATACACATAGCATGTTTAACTCAAACAGTGAAAACCAAGACTCACCTTCCCAAAGCTCCCCTTCCCCAATACTCGGATGAACTCAAAGTTGTCGATACCAAACCGGTTGGAAGAATTAACCCCAACTCCGTTCCCTTCTTTGGTGCTCTCCTTTCCCTGTCGTCTTAGAGTTGATCTGGAAACGAGCTTCTGTAAAGAAGAGAAGGAATACATGGAGTCGGAACTCACAGTGTGTGCACGAAGCATTTATGAATGAAGAAGACTCTACTTCCAGCTTTAACACTTAATACAACATGCAGGGTAAGATCAATTCAGGTTGACACGTGATCGGGTTTTGCCACTCAAGATGACCCCTGATCTGTGCTTACTGTATTTGGGGGGAAAATCATTTAAAAATATATCTAAGCCATAGATTTTCAATTTATGCTCAAGTGGGCACGTGTAGAAACACAAAAAATGCCTTAGTCTGATTCCTCTGGTTTTTTGCAGTGGATTTCTCCAGAGTTGTCAGGTTCCAAGAGCGCCACCTGGTGTCCACTGCCTACAAAAAGAGGTCTTCAATAATGGCTCAGAGAACAAGGGTTCCATATGAGGACTTGAATGAATAAAGCAACATTATTTATACAATATTTTAAATTACATGAGAAATAAAATTTTTAAATGCCTATGATCTCACCAGTCTCCCTCAAAAACAAAAAATATATAAAAATAAAACACACATACACACGTCTGCCTTCACACTTGATAATGTTCTTAATACATAATAAAATCGTTTCATAACATTTTTATTTAATGTTTTATCACGTGTATTTTCCCTATCTTTAAATATCCTCCAAAAAACAAGAGTTGTAAGGGCTGTCCAATACTCCATTTTGTGGATGCATCACAATTTATTCACTAATTCCCCTGCTGTTAGAAATACAGCTACCTCCCAGTTTCACTAATATAAATAATACCTCAGTGAACAGGGTGAGTAGGTGTACAGCCTTCCAACCGGGCTGCCTGGGTTCCATTCACAGCTCTGCAACCTAACCTAGTGACCTTGGCACAGTTGCCCACCCATCCTCACTGTGCCTCAGTTTCCTCTTCTACCAAAGGGGATGTTATGGCACCTGCTACATGAGTTACTATGAGGAATAAATGCAAATAAAGCCCTTAAATTGGTGCTTTATTATTGAATGTGCTTTATAGGCAACATTCAATACACATGAGCTGTGTTGTCCTCATTACCATCATCATCATTATCATCATGTTCTTCATAATTTATTTTCTTAAGATAACTTTCTGGAAATGGAATTCTTTAAGCCAAAGTGTTAATTCTGAAGATCTTTGATGCATAGGCACTTGTCCTCTAGAAAGGTCTACCACCAGCACAATGCATGTTCCAGTCTCATCTCACCAAACCAGATGTATGGCCTCCTCAGTGGGTTACCCAGCCCCATCCCAGTGGGACAAGTCCCGTCATGGCAAGGGTGTTCCCTAAAGGCAAGGTGACTTGCAGATGTCCACCTTGGGACATTTATGATACAGGTTACCACTAAACAAAAGATCAAAAGTCAAACATCCTGGACCTTCTAACCTATTTTGATTTTTTTTAAAAAACTTATCTGGGGCAATGTCTAAACAATGCTTGCAATAAACAACTGCAATAGCCTGAAACGATAAGGATTTTATCTTTCAACCCAATAAAACAGCGATAGCAAGATATAAAATGGATCATCTTACAAATCCAATTGTTCTAATAATTTCTCCTCCAGATCTCTGAACACACATTTTTCAAAGATAGAAGAATTTCACCCGCTTGAATTTCACTTCCTCCACTTCAATACTTCCCCTGGCTGGGCTGGCACTCGCAGAAAGCTCCAGGCCAGTGTTTCCCAATCTATTTTTTTTTAACCCATTCTTCTCTTTTGATAGACTTAAGATTCTCTGCCTTTTCTTAATAGCGTACTATAAAGTAACAGGTAACTTTGGTTTTCTCATTATTAAACATCATAATATGAGAGATACTTGGTGGTATATGACAGGTGGCCGCATGGTCTATCTTATTCCCATCGTACTTTAGAACTCTGGTTGAGGCTGAGATCTTTCATCTGTGCTCTTCAGGAGCAGCTGTCCTGTGCATCAGACACCCCTCCCCACTCCCAATCCCACCCCTGTGGTATTAGCATCCTGCCTGTCTCTCCACAAGACAAAGACACTGATGGACTTTGCCAATGCCTTCCCGAAGTATCAGACATACAACATTGACTAGGTGTCCTTCAGTAGGAAGGAAATGGGTGCTTAGCTGACATATTCTGGATAATTAAGAACCTGACAGTGACTGTACCTCCTCTCCTAAGCACCCAGACACCTTGAGTAGCTAAGTCTAGAATTCTCCTGAATCAGCTGTCAGTATCAAGCTCCCTGCCTTTCAAAGATCACAGCCATAGCCATCGCTCCCTCCAAGCTCTCTGCTGACCCCGGGCCAGGAAGGCAGTGAGAGATCGTGGGCCTGGAAAATGTCTGAGGCTCTTGACAGAAAACAGTAGGTAGGGAGGCCACACAGGGAGGGGGCAAGACAAAACGTGTCCAAGGCAATGGACATGACTCCACCCACTCCCAGGACCTGAGAGGCAGGGGTTCCTGTCTGTCAATGAACTGGAGAGACAGATCTGTAACCCATGAACAAAATGATAGAACTGCGATACCAGGGCTGTGGAGAAACTCAGACAGCTTCAAGTTCAACCCTTTAAGAGAGGAGGAAGCTGAGCCTATTGTTATGGGGCAACTACACTGCCTGGACTTTTTACCAGATCACTCTCACAGGAAGTTGATTTTTAAAAATCCTTTTTTTGCTTCTTGCTATATCTGCACGCTCATTATTTCTTGTCATATAATTGCACTAGAGGCCCGATGCACGAAGATTCATGCAAGAATGGGCCTTCTTTTCCCTGGCTGCTGGCACCGCCTTCTCTCCGGCCAGAGCCCCTGTCTGCCTTCCCATGCTACCCAGAGGCCTGGAGCAGCTGGGGCAGTGCAGAAAGCCTGTGTCGTTGCCATGGCAGCGACATAAGCATCCCACCCCACCCCTGGCCGCTTGGCATGTGTGCATGCAAATCAACCTGCTACTTTTGTTGGGTTAATTTGCATACTCACTCCTGATTGGCTGGTGGGTGTTGTGAAGGTATGGTCTATTTGCATCTTACTCTTTTATTAGTGTAGATATAGGCTTCGATTCACTAAACAAACTTTAGAAATGCAATAAATGTGTTTATTGTATTTGCTGATATATGGGGCTTTGTTTATGCCACATGTGCTCCTTCAGGCTTACCACATCTGAACAACTCCTGAATGCCATCGTGAAAGAAAGCAAGTCTCACCGAGGTTGGAGAAATATTTCCGGGTTGGAGGCCCATCCCGGCCAGCGTCTTGGCCAGCTCCACCGCATTCACCCCGCAGTTCGGGGCCACGTTCGCCTGACACCGGATGTGCACGTTCATTTTACAGACTGCAGGGGAGAGAAGGGAACCACACTCAGAGAGGACCCGGGGCAACGTATGCAGCGAAGGAGAATGCTAACGAGCAGCACCACGCCGACAGAGGGATTGTATGGCTGAACAGCACCGCCGCCTTCTTAAAAAATTAAACTTCACACTCATAACAACCCCTGGCATTTCCATTTATTCCTGCTTTGTGCAGAAGCAGAAAGCCTGGCATACTGGAGAATAATACATTTCAAATACATTTTCCTCCCACCGTGACTTGATGAAAGGCATGCATCTAAATCATGTGTAACAGCTACCACCGATTTAACAGCGAGATTCAATAGAGATGAGAATGTCCCATCAATTGTCAATTGAGTAACAAGAATCATGACAACTGACGCTTTGCCTTCTCTCTCTCAGTAAAAGGTGGCAGCCTACAGGCGGCTGTTCACACAGCATGGAGATGGCATTTGGGAGAGAAAAACTTCTAAGTGATGCTGTCTTTCTGAGTATTGTTGTGGTCTGAGCCTTCACAGCCTGGGGCCTGCATCCTGTGGGGTGTGGTTCTCAGAGCTTGCAGCCTGCGGTTCTAACTTCTTCATGAGGGTGAGGGGGGGTGGGGCGTGGAGCCAGGTTTTTAAAGGTCACGGTAAATGGCAGTCGGAAGAGGAGAGTGAGGCAAGCTGGACTCCTGTGCAGAGGAAACTGACTTGGGATGAGGAAGGACCTGAGGTTTCACGAGCGGAAAGTTCTGATCCGGCTCCCTCCCACCGCCTGCTAACCGAAGGGGCCCCGAAGCAGCAGCAGCAATGAACCGTTTTGGGAGGGGCAACGTATGCAGCGAAGGAAAATGCTAAGGAGCGGCACCAGCAGAGATGCAGTTCAGGTTTTGGGGCCTGGGTTTATGTAATTTAGGGTGTGGTGAGCTCTTTCAGTGGAAGAACCTCCAGTCGAGTGGAGGACTCTGGGGGTGTCCTTGCAAGGGAGGGGCCCTGAGGCCACTCTTTATGAGCTCCATGGGACGTTCCCCCTTTCCCTGGAGGAAGCTGCTCTGAGGACACTCAAGCCTCCAGGGGCCTTTCTAAAGCCGCAGGTGACAACAAAAGCACAAAAGTAAGAGCCAGGCCATTGTAGGTATGCTCCCCTCAGGACCCCCAGGGACAGGAACGGTGCTGATGAGCCCCAAATGTGGCTCCGCCTGGCAGCCACAACTGCACAAAAGCAGCACATGACTTTCATGTCAGAAACCCACCCCCAGGGGAGACTATCCAGCACAGGACCAAGCAGGGCCAAAGCCAAAGCTACACTTGAACAATTAGATGAAATAAGTATTATGAAATGGTGTTCTGGAGAGAGAAAATAATTGCCCCTTTGAAAACAAATGACCGGTCCCTTTGTGTTGACAGAAGCAGGCTTGGGAAGTCCAGGCGGTCCGTGGAAGCTGATCAGATGCCTACCCTCGTGACTCAGGGTGTGTCTCAAGCATCTGGATGAAATTCACACGTATTTCCACAGTGTACCCATGACAACCAGATTGTCATAGCAACACTCAATGGGAGGTGACACAAGGACAAGAGCGCTGCAACTCCCAACTGGACAGGGGTCAGCCTTTATGCCCAGAACCTTTGCTGAGGCAAAAGCTTCCAGAGAGTGTTCCTCTGGGCACAGTGAGAGATGTTAAGTGTCTCTCACTCCACCAACCTCCATCTCTACCACATATTCCTAAGAAGAGACCAGGCCAGCTTGAGTGACATTTACAACTCACCTCCTGCTCATCTTGGCGCGGACATCAGACCTACACTCCTGCCAGGCCTTCTCTATTGGGCTACCTCATTTCCTATCCCTTCCATTTCTGATGAAGATCCTTTTTCCCCCTCTTTTTAAAAACATCTATTAAAACACACAAGGACTAGTCTATACTCAGCACTAAATAGCTAGAACATTGAGATTAACAACTGACTTGGTAATCTATGAATCAAACGTAGCTCCCTGTTCATGCCTGACAAGGGATTCACAACCATAGTACTACTAAAATGTTCATTGACAAAGTATCTAAAACCATCAGTCCAGGGCCAGATTCTGAGCCTACAGAATTCCCAAAGCCTGCATCCTGGTGGCCTCATGAAGGAGTGGGCGCCCAGCAACTCACTTTTACACTGAAGTCCTTGCCGCATTATCCCCCAGAGCAGGGAGCCGCAGTGGTCGCAGAATGTTGGCACTTTGTAGTTGTGGATGCTGAACTTGTGTGGGATGTTGATTCCAAACCTCTGCTCAGCGGTCTGTAAAAAGGAATCGGGGACAGGAGCTAAAGTCCCACACCAACACCTTTTGTAAAACCTGTAACAGGAGCCTCCCAAACACGGTGTTACTATGACACCCGAGCTGGTATGTTATCTTACCGCTCAGCCACAAGTAATTATGTGGGCCTTCCCCAGCAGACTGAGCACATTTTCTAATGAGAAGGACTGGAAAGAAACGTGTGGCATGGATTAATTAGACTGTTCACCATTCGGGGGAGATAAACAGAAATAAAAAATTTCCTTTCAGCCGAAACCGGTTTAGCTCAGTGGATAGAGCGTTGGTCTGTGGACTGAAAGGTCCCAGGTTCGATTCTGGTCAAGGGCATATACAATGGTTGCGGGCACATCCCTGGTGGGGGGTGTGCAGGAGGCAGCTGATCGATGTCTCTCTCTCATGGATGTTTCTAGCTCTCTATCCCTTACCCTTCCTCTCTGTAAAAAAATCAATAAAATATATATTTTTTTAAAATTTCCTTTCACCTTTCATATTCAGGCTGTGTTTCTCTCCCTACCAGCGTCCTCACACCCATATCTATTTCCTAGAATTCTTTAACTTCAGAATTGAACAGGTCTTTCATAGACTACATACAATTGCTACAATCACATGTTCTTCCAGAAATTGTGTCAAAAGGTGTGTATCGGTGGGGAGGAGGAGGATGGGAGGGAGTGGGAGAAGGTGGCAACCAGAGGACATGGAACCACAGAAGGAATTCATTTTGAAGTGACGATCAAGTGACATTCAGCCCTTCCAGCCTTTATGTGGCATTTGCATTCTGACCTTGGCTAAGGTCAAATGTAATCTCACTATTTCCAGCAAATATTTAGACTAGGCATGAGCTCTACGGTCTATGTCACAATTTAGAGCAATAACAACACATCCACACACCCAAAGAATGAGGCAATTATTACTCCTCTTGCAACTTTTCTGACCTCTTTCTCATGAAAGAGAGTACATACGCCTTTCTGTGTACTCTTTAGCAATCCTAGTATGTGGACAATAAAGAACCAGTGAGGCCCAGAGTCAGACATTCCAATGCGTCTGTAAATCACAGCTAACTGTCAGCAACAATCCCGTGTACTACCTCCAGAATTTAGAATAATGCCCACCCCAGCTCAATGGGATGCAAGTGGCACGAGTGAGGGTCACTCATGTACAGATATGCATCCTCCCTGAAATGTCTTGAGAGGCTGGAAGAAGCCAACAGTCACCTTATTTAGGAAGCACAATTTATAATTAACAGCGTACTCATCATATCATTTCCATCTTGTTTAACCATCACAAAAATGTCACGAGGGGAGCATTGCTCCCATTTTAAAGATGAGGCTGAGAAGCTAGCTAGCAGAGTATGATCCTGTACTCAATCCTAGTCACCTGATGCCAAACTCATAGGTCTTTTCACTCCTTCAAAGCTCTCTTCAAATTAGAAGAACTGAAGCCCTCCCGCCTATACCCATCTGATCACTAAAAGGATAATATCAAGGACAGGTCATGCTACACAAGGACAGAAGTACCAATGCCATAAAGTAAAACGGAGAGAAATTTCAATTCTGATCCCACCATTGGCATCAAGGAGTGTGGGAACTGGAGGGAGGGGAAAAAAGAGAGGGAGAGGGGGAAGAAGGGGAGAGAGAGAAAGAGAGAGAGAGAGAGAGAGAGAGAGAGAGAGAGAGAGAGAGAGAGAGAGAGAGAGAGAGAAAGAAGAAGAAGAAGGAGGAGGAGGAGGAGGAGGAGGAGGAGGAGGAGGAGGAGGAGGAGGAGGAGGAGGAGAAAAGAGAGATCACGCAGGGACCTAATTAGCAAACTGCTATCCTCTTACCTTTGCATCCACTTTGTTAATATTGTTTTGGCAAGTGCAGGCGGTAACAATTAGATGATGGCAGCGCTTATGGACGACACAGGTGCACACTAGGGAATTAAATCCACAATTAATACATTTATCGGAGGCTTACAGTCTTGTTAATGACACTAGAGTCAACAAGGGCTGCACCAAGCCAGGGTACTTGTTTGGATGTCCGGCCCACAGGATAGCGGCCAGTGCTCCTGTCCTCCCTGTTTTCTTTACCAGCATCTTCACTGGGCCTTTGCTCACACTAAACTACTCTTATTCAAGCCCTGAGCTTAATTCATCCTTCCTGTCCCCATCTGCAGAGGAATCTTCTGACGGCATGATTTTAGTTACCTCACCCCTTGATCTGAATTGTTAATCAATAGCTTTCAAATCTCCCAGCCAGGTTTCAGGCTCCCCAAAGTCTATCCCAAGCTTATGGGTCAAATTTTTTCTAAGGGAGTTTCTTGTTCCAATAAAAACGAGATTCTTTCACCCGCCACCTACACTCTCTAGACCTTTCACAATCCTACCACCTGACTAAATCTTAGCTGTATAACAAGGCACAACTTTTACAAATGTCTCTTCCATGAAGATACACCATCATGGTTATCCTTCTAGGCTGGAGCCATCTTTCCCTCCTCCAAACTCGTATCATTAGCCTGCCCCTTCATTTCAAATTGTCCGCCTATCGCCTTGAATGCCCCCAGAATTCTCAGCCAGCATGATGCCTTGAACAACGTAGGGATTCATTAAATATCTGCAGAATGAGGCAATCAGCCGTTTGAATATTTAGAACTTTCCGAGTAACTTTTTCATTTTCATCTAGACATCTGACATCGTGCAGATGTAGAGGATGAACATGTGCAATGAAGCGGTCTGAAAATATGGATAATGTTAAAGATCTTTCAAGACATGTGGGAGCTTTTAGGATTAAATACATAAAGACAGATGACATGTCAACAAATAGAACAATATAGCTTTCATCAGACAAAATTCTCAGAGGAACTAGATTGAACTTCCCAGAGAACTAATCTTTTTATATGAGGGGGTTTCAAAACCATCATTCACAAAGGAAATCCTTTATTCTGAGGCGAGTTGGCTTTTTTTCAGTTAGCTTGGCTAGAGGCTTATCAATTTTATTGATTGTTTACAATGAAACAGGGCACATGCTTGATCCCCAGGGTGGGACATGCAGATGGCAGGCTATCAATGATTCTCTCTCATTGTTGATGTTTCTCTCTCTCTCTCCCTCTTTCCTTTCCTCTTTCTGAAATCAATCAAAACATATTAAAAAAAAAACATAGCCAAAATTAAAATAAAATTAAGGAATTGTACATAATTCTATTGTGTGTGTGTGTGTGTGTGTGTGTGTGTGGGTAGGTGTCTCATGTGACCTTCAGAGTGTTATTGAAATATCAATGGGATACATCCTGTTTCCTCTTGCTATGAACACTTTTTAATATAGAAACAAGATTAACTGTAGCTTTAAAAACATTTTCTTACCTTGGCATTGATAACCCTGTTTTCCAAATACTCCCCTGTTCAAGACAACAGAGAAAAAAAATTACCATTAGTTGAATATTTCATCAAGAATGCTCTATAATTACAGTACTTTAGGAACATAAATTTCATCCTCTAGTCTTTGATGAAAAACACATTGTCAGAGAAGAAGCAAGGATGTATGCTTCTTGAGCCCTTGTTTGTTACCATAAGACACAGAGGAAACCATGTGATGGATTAGAAGGTTCTAGAAGATAGGAACGAGTGGATATTGGCAATTCTCATTCCATTGCCTCTCATCTCCGAAATCCTCCTGAAAACCAGCCCTCATCTCTGTGTGTGTGTCTGAACCTCAGCCTGAAGTGTTACTGCTCCACCTTGCATGGCATTCTCTCTCGCATTCACACAAAGATACGCAGAGGGTGGAGTAAATGGATACAGGCACATATACAAACAGATGAGCCAGTGCAGCTGCCTGACCTGAAGTGCCCTCTCTCTCCCTGCTGCCCACATCACCCAGGAGTCCAGGAGAGTAGAAGAGCAGCCACAATATGTCCAGGATGCCCACAGCTTTCATCTATGTCTCCCCAGTATGGGCTCTGGGGGTGGTGCTATAATTCTTACTCCAATGAACAAAGACCACATTTTACTAAGCCCACAGGATATGTGATCTACGAGCAAAGGCCCTGAAGCCAGGCGGCCTGAGTGTGATTTAGGACAGATTATTAACTTCTTTGAGTCATAGTTTGCTTATAAAAAGGGATAATGGTCACAGGACCTACTTCATAGGGTTATCATGAAAATAAAAAGAGTTGGTGATAAAAAATACTAAGAATAGGGCCTGGCACTTTACTCGCTATATAAAAGTTTATTGTACAGCCTGACCAGTGTGGTCAGTGGTTGAATTCTGAACCATGAATCAGGAGGTCAGGGTTCCATTCCCAGGCAGGGCACATGCTGGGGTTTCAGTAGTGGGTATGCCAATTAATGATTCTCTCTCATCATTGATGTTTCTATCTCTCACTCTCCCTTCCTCTCTCTGAAATCAATAAAAAACATATATATATATATATATATATATATATATATATATATATATATTTTTTTTTTTTTTTTTTATTGAGGAGACACTAATAGGTTATGTAATTTGTCTATGTTCACACATTTAGTTGGTAGTGATATTGAATTCCAAAGCTCATCCTTTTAACCATGTATATGTAATGCATATACCAATTGTGTGTGTGTGTGTGTGTGTGTGTGTGTGTGTGTGTGTGTGTGTGTGTGTATGAGAGAGAGAAAAAAAGGGAGAGAGGGAGGGAGGGAGGGAGGGAAGTGGTCAAGTCTAGTTGGGTGGGAGTTAATGTTTCCTTGGTGGAAAAAAAATAGTGAAATTAACAAATAAGTTTCCTTTCAGAATCTTAATTGAGGTCACAGGTTGTCACCACAAATGCCTACAGTGCCAGCAGGTCACAGGAAGGAGGGAAGCAGAATGGTGTGAATGGACAGTCACCCTTTGGGTCAGCAAAACCCAGGGAGAGGAGGGGCCTCAGCTAACCAGAATGCACAGACTTCTGCAAAGGAGAAAATGGGCTCAAAGATGCTGCAGCTTCTGGTCTTTTCAATAGAAAATGCAGCCGGAACTTTTTCCTAAAGACTCTAGCTGTGATAGCACATTTGTAGTTTAGGGCTTTTCATTTAGATAAGACTCTATTCTTGGTTAAAAATGATAGAAACACCAATTAACCTTGGATTATGACTGCTGAAAGGTATGAAATCCAAAGTCATCACAAAAGCAACAACAAACAGAATATAAAGTAACTGACTGATATTCAGAAATTACTCTGAACCAAATGCCTCTGCCTTGAAGGAAATGACAGAAATTTGCACAAAAATGTAGCCCTCCATTCTTGCTGCAGATAGGAAACTGTTTTCTCCTTCTGAGATGGGACATTTCGGAGAGGGGTCAGGGACCTCTTACCAGATAAACTCCCTACAGTGAGAGCAGTAGGTGGGCTGCCGCAGGTACGTGGCCATGAATTTGTGTCCGTTGATCTGGTGGACTCGCCTTCGCATAGCCCTTTGGCGCTTCCTGGTAAAATGTTTGAAGATTCGGTCTCTCTGGAGAGTGGCTGCATGTTAAAAGAAAGCGGGAAAATGTGTAAATGAATCTACCTGCACTTGATGTCTGAGCAAGTTTGAGAGTCTAAACTACTCCCTAAATTATTTTTTATTTTTTCAAGATGCAAAATGCCTCAGAAAATCATCATGCTTTTCTAGTGACCTTAGACTCTTAATTTTTAAGGTTAGACTATGTGACCCCTGAGGTTCCTGCTGCGTGGTTACAGCTGCCTTTCTTGGGTCAGTCTCCCAGGCTCAGACCACGGGCTTCCCAAGGTCCCGATGCTCCAGTCTGTGCAGCAGCTCTGGTCCCACTATCTGGGACTCAGTCCATCTAATGGGTGCAACTACTGGCTGGTGAAACAGGGTTTCTCATATTGGGCTTTCATGTTGGGGTCCTTACAAACTGAGGGAGGGAACTGCTCACAGCACACTGAGAGAGCTGCCTCAAAACATCAGTCCCACCTCTGCTAACTGGGAATAAATGGAAATTAACCTGGAATAGGTGCAAAGTTCATTTTCTAATCTCACATTTTTAAAATAGTGGCTCCTAATTTAAGACTGAAATCAATGCACCATCTAAAGTCAGTAAATGATGTCTCCCACATAATTATACTAAAACTTTTCCAAAATGGATAGACTTGTGATTAATAAAATGAAAATGACGTCTTCAATACTGTTTTTAAGTTCACCACTGATGCAAAGGAAAATGAAGGAATCATTTAAAAATAAGTTGCTTATAAATTTTTAAACCTGGAAGAAATCGATTTCTATGGAAATACAAATTACCAAAATGTATTGAAGAAGCGCTAAATAAACCAAGCAGACTGATTTTTGGGGGAAGAAATGGAGAAAGTTTTCTAAGGGCTGCCTCCCAAATACCAAGCAGGCCCAAATGGTTTCACGGGAGAATTGTTTTACAGTTTCAAGGACAAGATAGTGTTTAAACTGGTTTCAGGAGAGAGAAAGAAGGAAAGAGCCAAATTTTAAAGGAAATTAGGAGACAACACTAGGAATAAAAGATATAATTAATATAGTCTAAGATATAACAGAAAAAGAAAAAATCAAGGTTAATCATCTTTTTTTTTTTTAATTCATGGATCCTTTAAAGAATCTGTGACACTTATGGATCCCTTATTAGAATGAAGCTTTCTAATCTAAGAAACTAATATACCTAAGATTGCAAAGAAAATCAAGTATCAAAATATATTTTAAGTGAGATAGAATAATATATACGCTTCTTTTACAAATTAAATACTTAGCCAGGACTGGTTTGGCTCAGTGGATAGAGCGTCAGCCTGCGGACTGAAAGGTCTCAGGTTTGATTCCAGTCAAGGGCATGTACCTGGGTTTCGGGCACATCCCCAGTGGGGAGTATGCAGGAGGCAGCTGATCGATGTTTCTCTCACATCTATTTTTCTGTCTATTCCTCTCCCTTCCTCTCTGTAAAAAATCAGTAAAATATATTTTTTTAAAAAGGCTTTTAAAAAAAACAAATTAAATACTTAGTGGCAGACATGGTCATTATAATAATTTTGAAGTACTGATATGGATAAACTGCATTTCATAATATCTGTGAAAATTGTAACATAATATGGAAATAATCTGTGACTTCTGTTATTACAACAGAAGCACAGCTAATAGCACTGTGGTTTGTTTATAAGTAGAAGAAAATGCTAATTTACATTATAGGGTGAAAAAAAATTTTTTTCTCAAGTTACTAGACCAGATAAATTCCAATTATGGACCCCAGTAAAAGTACCCCCCTTCTGCTTACATATAAAGCTCTCTCATAAATATGATGCATGGTCTTCCTTATTGAAGTTTGTGTAACTACAAAGTGAATAGAAAAGAAAAACACTAAAAAAAATATTGCTGAGTATTGTCATGTTATGGGGTCTTTGCTTTCCTATTCTTTTATAATTAGTCCCCAACACAAATATTCATTTCCACTTAATAGCACCATTTTTTTCCTGCCAATCTCACTGGTTCCTCAGTTTATTGGATGTGGATAATGTATGAGCCAAATATCTTAACATGTAATATAAACTAACTGCAAAGTAAAGTTGAAAATCTTGCACAAGTTGAAGAATTTTCATGCAGCCTAGGGAAAGTGATGTTTCAGAATCTGCACCCAAAGCCAATGGCAGGTAAAAGGCATTGGCAGAGGTAGATCAGTTAACAACTGAACAAAAGACATTTGATACCAATATGATAGGATAGGCATTTTAAGAGAGAATAATTTGAATGCCGATGTATATCAAAAGATCCCTGAGAAATAATGATGCCTCAAACACTTGTTAAAAAGATCCTATTTACAACTGTACAATAAAAGTTAAAAATAAAATAGGGAATATTCTGACATAATAAATTTTTCTGAAAAAATATTTTATTCTAAAAATTAGAGCCTAGAGAAAAATAACAAAATTTGTTCAATATAATACTTTCATAATTTTAGTTTCATTTTTCAAGCCCCTTCTTCCACTTCTTAACTATTAACAAAACTTAGCCCTCAGTCTGAAGGATTTATTTTATGTAGACTTTGCCCAGTAGCAATTACACTTAGATAACTGGGAATTTCTATACGATTCAGCATTAACTTAGAAAAACCACGTGACCAATTGTGAATTTTCCCAGGTGCATAACAATGAGTGTATTAGAAAATCCATTATTACATCTTACTGTAGTAGCAGGTGAAAGAAAATAAGTATGATCATTTCAATAGAGGTTGAAAAAAAAAAAAAAAACCCACCCACAACCACAAACCATTAGAAAAGTAAGACTAGAATATAAGCCAGGAAGTGCTTTCCTCACAGGTTTTTTTTAAAGAACTGGATGAAGTAATGCATTCAAAGTGTTTAGCACAGAACTAGGCACAGGATCCTTGAACAAAATGTGTTTAGGGCATAGGCACCCCCTACCCCATGCAGTCAAAAGTCCATATACAACTTTTCACTCCTCCAAAAACTTAACTACTAATAGCCTACTGTTGACTATAAGTCTTACCAGTAACATTAACAGTCAATTCATGTTCTATGTTCTATGAATTATATATTGTATTCTTACAATAAAGCTAGAGAAAAAATATTAAGAAAATCATAAAAAAGAGAAAATAGATTTACAGTATTTATTGAAAAAAAAAATTGACTTAATAGTGAACCCACACAGTTCAAACCTGTATTGTTCAAGGGTCAACCATCATTTTTTTGGGTCATATGCATTAGACAATACCTGTTAATGACTTACATAAATATTTCTTTTCATTTAGCAATTTAACTTAATACATTATTTCCTATAAAGAATACTGGAAAACAAGAATATACTCTATATACATATCATTGTTCCACTCTTTCTAACAGTAAAAATTAGGGTTTTTCACAAGAATCTCAAAGAATGAAATGCAGAAGTAGCCAAAATAAATTAGGTTAAGACACCAATGCCTTCAGATGGTCTAGCCAAAATTATGCCTGCTTCAGTTTTTTGGTGTGTGTGTGTGTGTGTGTGTGTAAAATCTTCAGCAAGCAATCTAATTTTCTATTCTCAGGTTTTGCTTCTGTCTAAAGAAGAGAAAATAGTCCCCTGCCCTCAGCCCTTTACCCCTGTGGAGATAGTGTCACAATCAATATTCCTGAGAGATTCTTACAATTTTAGATGAAGGTTACATAAGAAGAGTCACTTCATTATACTGCTCTCTTCCACAACAGCCACTTAGGAGCCCAAAATTGAACAGATTTTAAGGTTCCCTTGTGGCAGATGATAAAAATTGGCCCCAAGGGATCACCCTATCTAGCTTATGTTATCACCAACCTGAGATCCCAGTGCTGACCAGTACAAAACTTGTATTGAATTACTCAACATTATCACATCTAGATGCGATAAATCCTCCCCAGGGGTCTAATTACCAAGAACGTATTTATTTAATCCCTTAATACTATAAAGACTGGTTAAAAGGTCAGCTCACTTGCATTTTTAATATTTCATAAATAGAATTCTTTTCCACCCTCAACAACTATTACCATAGCAATGTCATTCCCAGGAATTTTCCTGGTGGTTTCTTACAGCCAGAGGTTTCTTATAGGAAGAAAATGCTTATAGCTACTCCCTCCATGCCTCCTCCACTGTCTGTCACCCCGCCTGGAATGCCCTTCCCTGGTTACGTCTCTTACCTAGTTCAATTAAACTTACTTTATCTGCCTCGGAGCCTGAGTAGCCTCACCCAATTCCTGAATCAAGGTGACATGATCCCCCTTCCCCTTTGTTCCCATAGCACCTGGGAGTGCACCTCAATCTTTTCTCTTATCCCTACAACTCTGGGGGCTGTGTCCCTTTCACCTCCGTATCCCAGGCGCCTCACAAGCTCCTCATACATGGCCACTGTGTAGCTAATCGCTCTTCCCCTTTTCTGTGCGTATTCTTTTGCACGTGGGCCTCTTTTTGTTGAAAAAGCAAACACACTCATGCGTGTGCTCTCAATCACCTGGGAAATTGCAAAACATTTAACTGATCATTTAAGAAACCTATGGCTTTCTCTGACACGCTCTTCCTCGTTGATGCCATGAACAGGAAGAGAGCACATTCATACTGCAAGATGAACCCCGTTCACAGCGCGCCATTTGAGCTTCCTCATGGCCTGCACCCTCCTGTTGACTTAGTAGGTCTGGGTTAAAAGAACTACAAAGGCTGTTTAATCCGGGTTTACCTTAAACCAACTGGGGCTTTGAGAACTTGCAGGTCACGTGTTAGTTGAACATGTCAGGCAACCCTAACATGCTTTGCAGCCAAAACTTGCATCACAACTTCTGTTTTGCTCCTGAGGCGCTCAACGCCTCTAAGTAAATAGGAAGCTGGCTCGGTGCCCCAGCGTGGAGACGCATTCCAGCCGCCAGGGGCACTCAGGCCTGGAGCCCTGACCTGAGTTGGTTTTCACAAGCCATCCCACCAACAGGATGGAGAACAATTATGTCAGATATAATGGAGATGAACTATTTTGATATAGATTCTATTTCGTAAA